AGCCGCTGCGGGGCTCCGACATTTTGCCCTCAGGGTTGTTGTTGTTGTTTGCCCTCGGGAGCTGCGTGCCCCTCGGCGGGGCCGCCATTTCTCCCTTAGTGCAACACCCCATCCGTCACAGACGCCATTTTCCGCTCAGGGTCATCCTTCCTCTCTCAGGGCTGCCATTGCTCTTTCAGGGCTCTCATTCCTCCCTCAGAGCCGCCATTTCCCCCTTAGGGTTGTCCCTCTTCCCTCAAGACCACCATTTTTCCCTGAGGGTCATCATTTCTCCCTCAGTGTCACCACTGCCCCCTCATAGCAGGACCTTCTCCCCCAGAGCCGTCATTTCCCCCTCAGGCTTGGCCCTCCTCCTTCAAGGCCACCATTTTTCCCCGAGGGTCATCATTTCTCCCTCAGTGTTGCCATTTCCCCCCTCATAGCAGGATCTTTTCCCCCAGGGTCATCATTTCTCCCTCAGTATCCCCACTTTCCCCTCATAGCAGGACCTTCTCCCCCAGAGCCACCATTTCCCCCTCAGCGTTCTCTTTTCTCCATTCAGGGTGGCCATTCCTGCCCCATGGTGAACACAGCTGGGAACTGCAGCATTTTCAGCATTTCAAGAATTTCTATCCCCCATTTTTCCCTCTGCAGACACTTCAGACTGAGCAGGCCTCAGTTACCGCCCTTCAGCCCTGCTCCACTTCCCCATTTTTCCTCAAGGAATGGCTCAAGCTGCCTGGACACACAGGGCTTACTTTAAAAAAATGGCATTTTGGTTAAAACTGGGTCACCCAAGCTCACGTCAGACCCTTGGCACCCAGACACCTTCCTGATGACGCCACTGGGTTCCACATCCAGCCCCTGGCTGCAGCGATTCCCTCACCCATCCCAACAAGACATCATTAACGCAATGCCATAATTAGCAATGCCAAAAATAACAGCACCTTCAACCAGGCTATTTTTGCACCTGTTCATTATTTCTGCCTGCGTCTAAGCATCCTATTTAGGAAGGTCTTACAAAGCATTATTTGTAAGTATTTTCAGCCTGAATTCATTTCAGCCTCACCTGACTGCATTTTTATCAGCAAAGACTTCACACACTCCTCAGCTTTCATTATATTTAATACCCTCCTGCATTAACATGCAAAAAATCCTCACTGGTGAATTGCTCAATACAACCCCCAGAAGAAGTGTGTCATGGCTGATTGCTTTTTTTAAATGCTGTTCACTTAGATAAATTGAAAGAGGTTAAAGGAGGAAAAGTAGGTTTTGTGAAGTGAGCTCTGTAATCCCCTCCTGCAGGCAGGAATGTCTGGAGACTCCTATCAGTGGAAAATGGGGAACTGATGGCTCTTGGGCAGCAAGTCCTCAGGCTCCTGAAACCATCACTAAATTCTGAGTTTATCAGTTAAAAAAAAAACAGGGAGAAAAGGGCAGGATGAAGCAATCAGCTCTTCTCTAATACAAAATAAAAAGGGCAGGAGCAGCTGAGATCAAAAACTCACCCTGCAATCTCCTGCCAGAAACACATTCAGAGTGCCAGCCTCTCCCAACATTATATTAATCCTCCTCATCACTGAGCTGCCAAATTTTTGGGATTTAACCCACAACAAGACCTCATTTCCCATGAGGATCACACATCAATCTGCTTGGAGCAGAGCATGTTCACCTCCAAGCACCACAGTGGTGGTTTGCTCTGTGCACCAGGACAAATACTTTAGCCAAAAACATTGTTTCCCACAAAAAGTACTACAGAGATTTGTTTTTCCACATTTCAGTGTTTTATTGTCTTGACTGATCTGGTTCATGTAAAAAATGAGCAACACCACTGCTTTGAGCTCTTCATCTCCTCACTCTGGTGTCTGTCCCTCTGTCTTCTCTGACGTGTCTCAGTGCTGAAACGAAATGGACACAAGAGAATTAGAAGGTGGATAAAGGAATGGAAGAGGGATATGGACAAGGGAAACAGACAAAAAAAAAAAAAACAAAAAAACTCAGGAAAGGGATGTTACCTGGTTGGCAAACTTGCTGCAGCATCCCTGGAACGCAGCTCTGGTCGCTCAGGATCCGCTGGGCCTCCGAGGCGTGTGCCGGGTCCCTTCAGCCTGCTAAAGCAGAGAGGCATTAACAGAGAGCCCAGGGCAGAGGATGCTCTTGCCCCCAACCTCCCCACACAGCTCACAGCGCACGAGGGTCTCACAAGCCATCGCTGAACCCATCACACCACAAAGCACAGTCTGGGAAAAACTGTTCCGGGCCGGCTGCTGCCCGTGCTCAGCCAGCCCATGGATTGGATCCCCCTAAGCAGAGAGTTAACACTTGGACATGGCTGCTTAGGAAGTGTGGGCCATGGGAAAAAGTTAATGGCAACAAGTAGGATGGCAAAGAAAGCTACAATTAAAGTGAGCAACTTAATGAAGTCTAGGAAGAGTCTCAATAGATGAACACATATCGAGTCAGGGAGTTCGTTCCAATCTTGCTTCCGTACCTACAGCAAGACACGGCTGCATGCCCAACTCTGATCTGTGGAACTCAAGGTGTGCCACAAGCCAAAGGTTGCATACGGCATGGGTTAACGTTTTTCCAGCAGCTGACCAAAATTGTCAAAAGGAATATTTCACAGGTACATTAGACTTTCAAATGAGCTCTCAACAAGAGGAAGGATGCGGACATGAGCAAAAGGAGTTACCTCGAATTACAGGACTATTTCCACATATGAACTAGCCAAGAGAGCAGCTCTCGTCTCAGAGGTTTCTGTTGGAGGCACAACACTTCTTTTCTCCAAGGACACTGCAGTTTCCATTTGCTAGCAAAGAATTCTTAGAACTTGTAAGCAATGACACAGCTAAGCTAAGCCCGGCATTCCCCTACATCGCACACGCGCTCGGCACGCAGGGAACAGCCCAGGGACTACAGCACTTGGCTCTTCTCTACAGCTTCCCAGTGTAACCTACAGCAGCTTTGCAGGACACATCCATCATCCTTCCTAACATTCCAACTGCACTTCGCTCCTAGCACGCCCTCAGTTTGTACTTCCAGCCTCTACAGACAAGTTTTGACTACGTTATGTGAAATTTCTTGGCCAATTCAGATGTCAAGACCGATTTTAGGATTAAAATTCCAGCGCGTCCGGGCAATCGTCCGGCCAGCTCTGCCACTGTCCCTAATCTCCTCCTCTCGCTCCCAAGACTGTTCTTCGTCTCCAAGGGTTGTGTTGTGCAATGAAATGTAAATGTCAGGAGCAGAGTTCATTTCAGACGGTCTTTTAATAGGCTTCGTAAAGCCAAAGAAAACTGTATACAGGAATCCTTTACCACTTCAAATACAACAGCAATGGAATATGCATATTTCTTCCAGTAAAAAAGGACAATATAAATAAACATTTTCAAGAACCTCTTTATGGTTTGCAAGTCTAGTTTTGGGTCATTTACATCATTACAACAGTAAAAATACCGTTATGCGGGTTGAACATACAAGCACGTTTCTCTTTAGATATATCAAGGTGGTTTGCCTTCCAACGGAACCCAAGCTGCATTCCTACCTTGCTACACTAAAGGAATGTTACAAAAGACGAAGGTAATGCACTTGAAAAAAAAAAAAAAGGAAGAAAAAAAGTCCACAGCTTGTTCAGCTTCTAGTGAACATTGGTACAAGGTCCTTGCTAGCTCAAAAGAAACTGAATTGGGGCCCCAACTTAAAAAAAAAAACAACCAAAAACGAACACCTTGGCTCATTCATGGAGGATAAAATAAAATCTGAAGTGCTTTCAAAAAAGATTAAAACCACTTGAAAGCAGAGCTTTCTCCAAGACAGTCTAATCAGACAGTCTTGTCTCAGAAGCTGCCAGGCTGTGTATGACAAGATCAGAACTGATAATACTACAAAAGTGAAAATACAAGTAGATGTACTACACAATAACCATTTCAGCGAAGCTCCAAAAATCTTTATAAATACAGCCATTGGAAGGACGATCTTGAGTCAGGAAGGATTTTTACTCGTTGTGTGTAGCTGAGGACAAGAAGCAGGCACAATTGTAAAGGCACTGAAGCAAAGACAAGTTCCAGCATTTTACTCCCTTTGCATTATTCCAAGGCTACGGCTACTTGGCTACTGAGATCCCCCACCCGCGGGTCAGTGCGTTAGGGCAGCCGAGTTTGGGCTCCAGGAACACCTTTTCTTTTTTTTTTTTTTTTTTTAAAAAACACTTGCTTTGCCTTAGATCCGAGCAACTCCTGCACATGCATTAAATTAGAATCTCCCGGCACCACCACACGTCCACAGCCTGAGCCTGCCCCAGCTGCAGGCTCGGGCTCAGCAGGTTCAGAGCTCCTACAGCACACGGACTCAGCGCTCCCGCTCGAAGCACGACTTACCGTAACTGTCGTAGCTGTCTCTGTAGGAGCCTCCTGAGTTTCTGTCTCCATAGCCACCTTGACTCCTGCAGGACAAACACAACTTGCTTTACAGCTGCTCAACTCCTTCTTTGCTGCTTTGAGCCCCACCACAGCTTCCCCACCACCCCCTGGTGCTAGCAGAGCCCTTACCTGCTATTATAGTAGTCTCTGGAGCCGTTATAGCCTCCGCTTCTGGAATCAAATCTGCTGCCGCCATAGCCTCTGTCTCCACCTCCTTAGAAATACATGGAAATTAGGTTTTTTAACCAATCTGACAAATGACACCCCCCATGAAGACATTATAAGTGACCCCCATGCACTCACCTCTGGAGAAGCCACGGCCCCGGCCTCGGCCCCCGCGGAAGAAGCCCCGGCCCCCCGAGGACCCCCCTCTGTAGCCACGGGATCTGTTCTCTGAGGACTTCCCAGCCTGGTCAACTCGGATCTGACGCCCATCTACAGACTAAAACACAACCACAGTTAGCCAAACTGAAATAACTACATAAGAAGCACATGTAGAATGAGTTGCATGCCTTCTAAGTTGGCTGAGCAGTGCCAGGACTTGCTGCTTATGAAATAAACAAACATCTCTTTCACGCCACAATTAAATCAAGTAGGCAAAAAAACAGATATATTAAGGAATATTATTATTATATATAGGAATGCCTATAAACTTGTATCTCAGTCATCCAGATTCCATAATGGAACTTTTTAGTTTTATTCCTAGTACACATATATACACATATACATATATGTTCTTTGACATATTAACTCATATAGCCACATTTTTCACACCCATATAATCTCATGTAAGATACTAGCATTAATCTATTTTTTCACACAGCCTGAACAGCAGCACCTCTGTTTCTCTTCCTGCACTATGGGAAATAAAGAACCAACTCCAAGGCCTCCTCACCTTTCCGTTCATGGCCATCATCGCATCTTTTGCATCATCGATATTTTCAAAAGTAACAAAGCCAAAACCTCTGGATCTCTGAGTCTCTCTGTCTTTCACCACCACGACTGTGAAAAGGAGAGATAGGAAATAAAAACCCATCAGCGCCAGGGAAATTTAAAAGACTTAGGGAAACTATCTCCCATCGTGGCTCTGCAGTCTCACCTTCAGAAATCTGTCCGTATTTAGAGAAGACTTGCTCCAATGACTGCTCATTAGTGTCGAAACTGAGCCCGCCGACAAAGAGTTTTCCCTCATCTGACGCCATTCTGACCTGCCAAACCAACAGAACCGAGTCAGCGACTCAAAAAACCCACACAATCCCCACGAGGTCTGAAACAATAAATCCTTCTAACACCACCTATAACAACACCGATGTGATCTCACACTGCCGGACGCCTTAGGTGGTCCTCCAGTCTTACAAGGGGTCTCCCTCAGGGAGAGCGGGATCGAGGGCCCAGCTGGGGCTCCGCAAGGCTCAGGGCCAAGGGTAGGTGAGCAGCATTAGGGCCGGGCCCCGGCAGAACCCGCGGCCGGGTCGGGTCCCGCCAACCCCCGGTGGGACCCCCGGTACGGGCCCCTCCGTGCCCAGCGCGCATGCGCACCCGCATCGCCCCCTACCGGCCCGGCCTGGGCAGCGCCGCCCGCCGCTCCCTCCCTCCCGCCCGCCATTTTGCACGGCCGAGGCCCGTCGCCATTTTGTTTCCGCGCACGCCTTTCCGCCCGCCGCGGCCCCGTCCCCCACTCGGCCCAGACCGGCCCGTTCCGCCGTGTCCCCCGTGCCTGCAGAAGGCACCGATCGGTGGGTCCGGAGCCGCGGCCCAGCCTCCCACGGGACCCGGCCCTCTGCCCCTGGGACACGGCTCCGCTCACTGCAGACCACCCGGCCCGGTGCGGTCGCGGCCGCCCCGCGCGACTGCGCTCACCGATAGCCGGGCGGTGCGAGGTCCACACAACACTTCAAAGCTTCAGCGAAATGTACGGCGAGCGTGGCGGGGCGGCGCCTTATAAACGCCCGCGCCTCATCCCGCCTATCTTATGAATATGCAAATGAACCCCGCCGCAAGGAGGGGCCACACGTCACCAAAGCGCTGCCGCCGCTGCCCCACCTGATTGGGCGGGATTTCATTAATATTAATGAACCACGGCGGGGGCGCTAGTAGGGGCGCGCAAACAAAACCACAGCGTGGCTCCGCCCCCTCCACCCACGCGGGGGCGGGGCACGACGGACGACTCCCATTGGCTGCGCGCGCGGAGGCGGGCGGGGGCGCCCCTGTGAGAGGGAAGGAAGTGGAGGTCGCTGATTGGGCGGGGGGTGCGGCCGCCCCGCCCCTCTGGCGAAGGGGGCGTGTCCAGGCTGGCCCAGTTTCGCGCCCTTCTCGCACTGCGGCGGCGGCCGCAGACAAAGGGCCCCCTCAGGGGCCGCCGCCATCTTGGGCGCCGAGCGCTGCCCCCGGCCGTGCTCCGGCGGCTCCTCCCGCTGCGGCCCGTCCGGTCACCGCCCCGTTCGGGAAACCCGTCCTGGCCCCGCGAACCGGCTGCCTTCCTCTCTGTCCCGTGCGGAATGATCACTCCTTGCAGTGTTGTCCGACACGCACTTGGGAGATGATGGTGAGAAGTAGTCAAAGCAATAAAGTTTTCTTTAAAAATAAAAGTCTTCCATCAACCTCTTTTCCCAAAGATTGAAATCTTTAAAAGCACATTTTGAGGTTTGACAAAGGTGAGAATGATTTCAGCGGTAAAAACTTTGTGTTAAAACTGGCAAAGCCAAAGACGTGTCTCATTGAGAGGCTACGCGGCTTTGAAAGGCCTCAAAATAAAAATGTTCAGTGTTTCATACAATAACTACAATCTCATGTAGAAAAGTGTTTAGAAACATTGGAGGGGAAGAGATGCACCTGAATAAATAAATTGGAGAGGAGGAGATGGATGGGAGGGAATAGGAGTGAGCAGGAAATGGGAAGGAAACACGGCAAGGGTGTCACTGTGTGTCCTGTGTCCAGGACAGGACTGGACACATCAGGGATCACTTTGTGTGTGTGTCCCTGTCCCAGGCAGGACCAGACACCTTTGCTGTGCCTCCAGAAATTCCTTGTAATTCACGTTGCAGTTTGCAGACAGAGTTTGCAGCCACCAGCCTCCATCCTTCCTTCTTTTCTTCCCTGTATTTCCAGTCTGAGCCAGGCTGCACAGAACAAAATCACTGGAGTACAGAAATCACTATTTGGTGACCAATTTCCAAACCAGGCACTGAGACTGAGGAAAAACAAACCATGGGGAGATGGAAAGAAACCTGCCTGTGATTGCTCATTTGAGCAGTGATCACCCATTCCCTGCCTCCCAGAGTGTGGAAATCAGGCTTTTCCTCCCTGGTTTGTTGTGATCCCTTTGGGATCTGCAGGAAAAAGGCAGTTTGTACATGGGTAATACAGCAATTATGAAACCCAGGGGCACCACATCTGTGGTTTTTCTGAGCTCACAGAGCCACAGGGACAGAATGCTGCCACCAAAGTGCTCAAAAGCACTTAAAAACACCCAATGTTGATGACACATCAGGCCAGTATTATTATTTTCCTACTATGAAAAAATTTTACTCACTTTCCTAGGCCTGGAGAAGGGAGCAGATGTGTCCACTGTTACTGCAAATTGATTTTTGCCCTTCAAGAGAGGAAAAGATTCCAGCCCTGCAATCACAGGCACAGCATTTTGATTAAATTAGAGACCCATTAACGTGAGCGTTTCTGGTCTGTGATGAGGGTGGATAAAGTGACCTTGATGCACCGAGAGCCATTTTCCAGCCTGAGATGCTGGACATGCTCCAGATCACCCAGGGCAGGCATCAGCTGTGGATTTGACAATCCTCGTGGATATTCCGTGATCAGGCTGCACACAGGGGCTGCTCCTGTGTCACCAGCCCAAGGGGCTCAGGGACATCCCTGCCTGTCCCACAGGCTGGGAGCAGCCAGGCAGGTAGGTTGCACCACTCATTAGGGCAGTTAATTAAGCACTAAACAGCCCAAGATTAATCTTCTGCAGCACAAGGAACCTGGCCAGGGGTCCCAAACAGGCAACACCACGTAGCAGAATTCACTCCTGTGAGTTCCAGACCTGAGCACCCATGGGTGTTTTCCCTGGCTGAGCCCTAATTTTGGTCACCTAGATGTGGCTGTGAGCAGGGCTGAGTGACCCAATTTGGCAAAAGTGCCAAATTTGACAATCCTCGTGGATATTCCATGATCAGGCTGCACACAGGGGCTGCTCCTGTGTCACCAGCCCAAGGGGCTCAGGGACATCCCTGCCTATCCCACAGACTGGGAGCAGCCAGGCAGGTAGCTTGCACCACTCATTAGGGCAGTTAATTAAGCACTAAACAGCCCAAGATTAATCTTCTGCAGCACAAGGAACCTGGCCAGGGGTCCCAAACAGGCAACACCACGTAGCAGAATTCACTCCTGTGAGTTCCAGACCTGAGCACCCATGGGTGTTTTCCCTGGCTGAGCCCTAATTTCAGTCACCTGGATGTGCTGAGTGACCCAATTTGGCAAAAGTGCCAGCACTTCCTCAGGGAGTGCAAATATCCGCTCTGGAGCGGAGCTGTTTGTGTGCACAGGTGCAGCCATGGGAAATGGTGAATCACCAGAGGCTGGAGGGACCTCAGGGATCACCTGGAGCTCATTCAAGCAATCCCCTCACACGTGACTGATGTTTTTATCACTTATTTTTTACAGCTTCCAAGGGCAGAGGTTGTAGGACCGAGCATCCTGTTAATGATTTCCTGGAAGTTCTGCCTGTCCAGCAGAACATGGAAAGTGACAGGAGGAGTCCTGCCTTCATCCCGTGCCGTTCCCACATCAGCATGAGCCTCTCTCCTGCCTCCAGCACATCCCACACCCGGCCAGCTCGGCCTTCTCTGGGGGTGCCCACCTTGCTGTGCTTTAGTGGGGACCTTTCCCAATCCCTGCACTCATGGCACACACAGAATTGCCCAGAGCCGCCCAGCAGCTGAGCCCAAACCTGCTCGGCAGCCCCGGCACCTTGTGGGGAGCCAAGGGCAGCCCCCGCCCGGGGCACTGCTCTGATGAGGTGCCCAAATCACCGAGCAGCTCCTCCGGGCTAGGGCTGGGAGTGTTCAGAGGAGGGGAGGACGGAGCAGTGGGTGCCACATCTCCTCCTCTTGTGGTGCTGTGCCTTACCCGGGGCACTGGGTGCCACATCTCCTCCTTTTCCTCTGCTGCTGTGCCTTACCCGGGGCTGGGAGCGAACAAAGCCCCTCAGGCACCCCCCCTTCCCCCTGCATTCCTGCTCCTGAGCCTGGCAAAGCCCCTGGGAGCGTCCCCCCCTGCTCCAGGCACAGCTCGGCACGCCCCAGCACATCCTGCAGGGCGCAAGAGCCGCCTCCTCTGCCTTTGTTTTTGCTGGGATTGCAGGAAAGGAGGGAATGTGGGGCCGGGCTGGAGCAGAGCTCATGGCTGAGCCTCCACCCCATCCAACACCAAGGCTCCTTCCTGGTTTTCCCTGCAAGATCTTCTTATAGCAGGAGCAGGGAAGGGACACGGAGGCCTCAGTGTCCCCTCGGTGTCCCCAGCACAGGACCCCTCGCTGTCCCCACCGTGTTTTGCCCATGGCAGCCTTAGAGCCGCGAGCAAACACCAAACCAGGGCTGGATTAGGAACTGGCAGTCCCAAAGCGCCCCAGGGAAAAGAATATTCCCTTCTCCCTTACTCCTGTCCCCGAGGGAGTTGCTCATCCAGCTTTGCAGTTGGAAAGAAAAGCCCTGACGCAATCCCGCTGTTTCCATGGTGAGGAGCGCTTCCCTGTGACCGGGATTTACCGGGCTGGAGGACAAAGGCACCGGGAGCAGGGGGGGACAGGATCCGCAAGGATCAGATCCACGGAGAGCAGAAGGATTGGATCCACGGGGAGCAGGAGGATCGGATCCACAGAGAGCAGAATGATTGGATCCACAGGGAGAAATAGGATGGGATCCACAGCAAAAAGGTGCAAGAGATCAGGGCTGGCTCAAGTTGCCCTGAGGTAGCATCAGAAAATCCAAATTGGAATATTAGGAAGTGAGCTGAGGTCCGGGGGGATTCAGAATTGGAGATATTGGTGCACTCAGCTGGAATCGGGGAAATTCAGAGCTGGGAATGCCAGTGCACCCCGATTGAGGTCAGGGGGGATCCAGGGTTGGGAATGCCGGGGCACCCCGGCTGAGGTGAGGAAGATGGTGAAAATAAGCATGTGGTAACCATGGCAACCGTGTAGCTGCCTTGGCGCTGAGCAGCAGCTTTATCAGGGCTGGTGCTTCCCAGCCAGATTATGGAAAAGCAAATCTTGTGTGTCAGACTGTCCCTACCTGCCCAAACACGGCCAAATTTAGAAACAACTGCACCCAGCATCTCCAGCAGCGGCCTCATCACCCCCACAGCTCACACTAAAGCGTTGCTGTGGGATTTTTTGCCTTTTTCCTCCAGCACTCCCAGCTCACCAGCACAACATTCCAGCCACTGTCACACATGAATGCTTTTCCAACATAAACCCTTCACCTGCCAGCTCTGCCACACCGGAGAGCCCAGCCATGCCATGGGAACATGGTTCACTCCCAGGATCCAAAACTGCCTGGAAAACCCAGATGGGGTCTGCCCAAGCTGCTTCCCCATGGGTGGCCTCTCTCCCACATCTGCCAGGGTCCCCCTGCACAGAACGCAGCTGCTCTGGTGTGGGAAAAGCAGCAGCAGCAGCAGCAGCAGCAGCAATGTGCTGTTTATTGCTCCCACCTTCCCTCCTGTCACCCTCCCGTCTGTATTAAGGACTCAGTTCAGTTATATAAGCGCTCATTAATCATCATCTAAGAGTATTTGCAGCGTTGAGTTCTTAAGGGCAGGAGATGCTACCCAAGGACAGGACAAACAGCCTCTGACCGCCTGACACCGGGCGACCTTGCGGGACAGAGGGCTGGGGACGCAGGGAGGGTTGGGTTTATCACAGCCAGCAGGGGAAAAGCTGCCAAGAGCTGGGAACATCGTATCCCTGCCCAGCAAGAGGTAAAGTACACACCGAGGGGGGCCAGCCCAGGTGTTGAGGGAAGCTGGAGCTTTTCCAGACCCCTTGGGCTCCTTCATTCACTCCCTCAGGCACTCACACTGCATTTTGCTGCCATGATTTGTG